TCATCCGGTGTCCTCCACTTCAACAGAGCATGCTGGAGTCCTGAGTCCCATCACCCTCTCATGACAACTATTTCTCTAAGCACTCAGCAAAAACCCCCACGAGATGCAGAGTAGACTGTGCAGAGAATCACAGCCTTGCTCCACCCCTGCCTAGTAGAGACTGAGTTTATTCCCAAGATCCAGTAGCAAGAGTTTAAAGCAGACTTCAAGTCATTAGCTTGCCATCTCTGAGATTTGGGGCGGGCCCTGACTTTGCCAATGAGGGGGCATTTCTAGGGGCTCTGCCTACTTCACAGGGCTTTTGTGAGGATCAATCATAGGCAGGGCTACCTCACCCTTGGGCCACTTTTGCCCTACCTTGCCATTCCTGGATATTTCTTGTGCCCTCACTGGTCTGAAGCAATAAAATATCATCACAGAGCCATCCCTTTCATGCTCAGAATTATGCTACAAAGCAACTGTTCCTATCTCAATTGTACAGTGACTGACCCAAGACTCGGAAACACCCAGTCAAGTGGCTGAGCAGTGACCTGCTTGCATGTGATGGTGGTGAGAGCGCAGCTCCACGGCCAGCCTGTTATTTGTTCCTGAACCCTCCCACATGCTTTGTTTGCTGGGCCCACTGGGCAAACGGCACATGATAATACCTGCCTAGCTGAATGCAGCATACTGCATACAACAAAAAGAAAGATGTGGGCTTAAGACGACATTGTTAGTTAATGTTACTCTTTTCAATAGTGATGTTTGTGTCTTTCCTCAGTCACTTTAGCTAAGGGGATGATGATGGGTGGGTGAATAGGAGAAAGGAATGTTTACCTTCTAAACTAATAGGCTCATTACCTCAATACCTCAATTATCTCATCCGCAGTGGCTATGAGGTACATCAAGGACATCTCCAAACTTGAAACACTGAGTTTTGTTTCTCAATGACTCTGCTACCACAACTCCCAGAGTTTACAGTCACACAGCCCTGAGGAGATTCCCTGGCACAATGTCCCTCGCCATGCCTCCAGTGACAGCCAGGATGTCCACGTTTCTCTTGGCTGGAAAAAAACCAAGTAAGTCATCAGTTCCAGCGTATTCAGGTCAGAGCTGAGAGGAGCCTCCTCCCCCCTCCTGAACTGTCCCCTCCCCACAATCTCAAAATAGAAACCTCTGGGGTTCAGGTACCAGGATGATGGAAAATGCAGAAGAGCCAGCAAGGAGCTGTTCATTTTCTGGCCTTATAGTGCAAAAGTGAAGAACACATGATCAGGTGGATGGTCGCACAGGTTTGGCTTGGAATTGAATCCAATCTCTCGTACCTACTGTATATAAGGCCTTGAGCTTGGCACAAAGCAGAGATAAGAGATAGAGGTGACTAAAAAAAAGTCACGAGTTTAATGTTCCATGTTAGCATACCCACCACACACAAGACTCCAGTAAGTCTCAAACAAAGTGGGAACTCCAGGATGCCAACTGACAGAAAACTCAATAAAGGACGAGGATTATGTTGGGCCCGTTGAAGTGAAGCATTCTGGGAAGAAGTGACAGCAGGAACGTGTATATGGAAAAAGGGAAGTAGAGGCTGTGGTGTTCAGTGCCACAGGCTAGAAATCCATGGGGACTGGTAAGGACATGTTGTCTTACAACAGAACAAGAAGACTGATAAGCACTGTGCTAATGAGTGTGCATATTACTCCATGATCGGTGACAGCTATTGTCAATCTTTGAGGATGGGTGTGATGCAAAGAATGTGCTTAATGTTCCTTCATTCTATCATCGAGTAGCAAGCAGGTAGACTGGATGCACTGGTCCGTGGGGAACTGTGAAAAGTCTCCCACGGCTCACGTGTTTGAACACGTGCTCACTAGCTGGAGGTGCTGTTTGTAAGGGTTGTGGAACGTGTAGGAGGGAGAGCCTCACTGGAAGAAATAGGTCACAGGGTGTGGGGGTAGACAAGAGGTTTTATAGCCCAACCCTCTTTCCTTTCTGCATCCTGACAAGAAACACAATGTGACAAGTCTACCATGCCTTTCTCCTCTATGATGGACTCTACTTCCTTAAATGATAGGCTCAACGAAACCCTTTCTTCCCTAAGTTACTTTCCTCAGGTATTTTGTCACAGCAATGAGAAAAGTAACTAAAGTATAAATTGGTACCATGAGTGGGGTTTTGCTATAATAAACCTGACGGTATAATTCATAGACTTTGGAACTGGTTTGCAGGAAAAATGTAAAAGAGCTTAGAGCTACGAGCTAGAGAAGTCCGGGGGATGTTGCAAATAGTACCTGGGCCATCTAGTTGAAATTTGGAACAATGGGCTAGCAAGGGAAACGTGGTCAGTGGAGGCAGACCTGAATCATGAGTTTTCAGAGGGGAACAAAGATTCCATTAGGATCTGAGCTAGTGGTCATTTGTTTTATATTCTGGGAAAGAACCTGGATGCATTTTGTTCATGTATGTCCTGAAAATCTAAGTGAGGAAAAATTCAGAAGTAATGGGCAAATTTGTTTGGCAGAGGAAATTTCAAGAAAGATAGCATTCAGGCTGTGGCATGGTTGCTGCTCATTGTCCTTCTTCAGGTTTATAGCAAGAGAGAAGCAAGTGTAGTGGAAAGTTTGAAAACATGTAGCCTAGTGATGAAAAGAACAGGAGCCAGTTAAAGGTGCAGGGAGAGTAGGTCAGGAAGTGGCTGTCATTGTTAGGGAGAGTGATGCTACTGAAGAGAACAGGGTACTCTCTACTGGGAAGAGCAGAGATTCCTGAGGATAAGACCCTACCTATCAATGTCGTCAGCTAGTGGAAATTCAGATTTATTTTAAAGGAAAGAACCTGACATAAGAATGTCACAAAAGGACCCCCTGCTCAAAAGCAATTGCCCTGGTAAAATATTTTCTCAGACTCTACCACAAAGATGCACAAACCCCTTGTTTACTGTAGCTCAAGGGGCCAGGAAACTTTTAAAGCTGTCAGAAAAACACAGCAGTACCATTCTCCTGGTACTGATGTTGCAGCATGAAAGATCCAAGAGCAAGTGGGTCTTCGAAGCCTTCGCCAAGGTTCCTAAAAGGCAGGCAATATGCGACAAGGCTAGAGTCCCAGCAAGGAGGGCCCGGGAGGGCATTGTCTGAAGCTATGAAGTGTAGTCTCAGTGGCAGTAGAAACATGAGGATATTGAGGATGCCCAGACTGTGGGATACCATCAAAGGGTAGTGTACTAACCCAGGAGGTAATGCTGAATGTGCTGTAGGCAACAGAGCTGGAGGTTGATATATCAGATGATTCTATCGGTGGCCCTAAATGGTAGACATAGAACTGTAGGGTTGGAATTTTCCCTGAGGAATTTTGATCTTACCTGGGTCTGGTTTTTCCTTACTTTGCTCCCATTCTTTGAACATTCAAATAGATGTTCATTTTGTGCTACTGTATATTGGAAGGATGTAACTTATTTTTTTCTTATACGGGGTCATAGTATGAAACTATTTTGAGTCTCATGAGACTGTGAACTTTTAGACAGTGTTGGGACTTTTAAAGACTATGGAGACTTTGGAAGGTGGAACGAATCTATTTTGCATGATGAATGGATGGACATGAGCCTCTGGAGGTCAGGGGCAGGGTACGGTTACAATATAAAACATTCCCTATAACAGTAGTTCTCAAGCTTCCTAATGCTATAGCCCTTCAATACCATTCCTCATGGTGTGGTAACCCCAACTATGAAATTATTTTTGTTGCTACTTCATAACTGTAATTTTGCTACATTATGGATCATGCTATAAATAGATGATATATAGAATATCTGATATATGACCCCTGTGAAAGGGTCCTTTGACCCCTAAAGGATCACGACCCACAGGTTGAGAACCACTGCCCTACAGACTCATATGCTTGTACCCTTGGCCCCAAGTTGGGAATGCTAATTTGGAAGACTGAAATCCCTAGGAGGAAGATCTTCACTGGAGGAAATGAGGCCCTGGGGGTGGGACTTGATGTTTTATAGCCGGCCCCATTTCCTTTCTGCTTTCTGCATCCTGACTGTGAACACATTGTGACCAGCTGCCTCACAACGTGTGTATCCTCTCAAGTCATGAGTCCATAGAAACCTTTCCTTCCTTAAGGGGTTTTGTCAGAGCAATGAAATGCTCAGATGCCCACTAAACAGGGCTCCCTTGAATCCCCACTTTAGGATTTAAAATGTGGGGGTCTATTCAGAGAGTGACGGGAAAACTGGGAAGGGTCCCAATGGCATCTTCTCAATCCTCAAAGCTTCCAGCTTGCCATCAGCTTCACACCCCCATTTCACTGCATTTGAATAAAACATTCAGCAGAGTTTGAAGCATGGTCCTCATGGGAGCCGGAAACTTTGGAGCATTAGCTGACAAACAGGCTGCTGCTGTGTCAACTCCCAGGGCAAATGCAAAGTGCGGCCTAATCTTGCTGCTATCACAAGTTCTCTGAGCTGAGGATAATGTATGATAATCTAAATCGGGCTGGGCAGATGCCTGCCTGGGAAATCTGATTAGGATTTGCTTGGTGGTTCCCTTTATCCCCCAGGAGACCTCAGGGTATGGCAGACAGGACCTGGCCATGAAGCTGGCATGCCCCCTAAGTAGTCCAGGCCCCAAGGCACGCATCTGCTGAACCATCGTTGGTGCTGAGTCCTCCACTGGTGAGAACAATAATCTTCAATAGCATTTCAGCACTGGACTCAGGCAAACAGATCCTGGCTTCATCAATGCACATCCGGCAAGGCCAAAGCCTCTCTGTGTATGAGGAATACATACGAGACTTGCTGGTGCCTCGTCTGTGGTTAACGTCCTTCAAAGGACACCATCAGCCGTGGTGTGGTATTTAAAGCTGTCCCGCCCTCACCACTTGAGGCTCCCCATCACCTAACACTTGGTGCCGCTACAAGGAATGAATTACCGTATCTCTGCTCCTACACCACAATCCCCAGGACTCTGCTCTTGCCCTTCCTTCTCTCTGAAACACCCTCTTCCAGCTAAATCCTATTTGCTCTTACAAACAAAAGCAGATGTCTCCTTCTCGGGGAAACTTCTCCTGGACAAAGTCCCAGCTATCAGTTATTCAACCAAGCTTGGCCAGTGTTTCCAGTCCTCAATACTTCCCCTGAGTCAGGACGCGATTGGTGTCACTGCTGTCCCTGATGAAAGAGCCCCGATAGCTCTACTTGATGAAGACTGCATCCGCGTGGCAAGACCGATCCTGCTCGCCATCTGGATTTCTGACCCCTTGTCTCAATGAGCTCCTTCCACACCCCAGCTCTGGGTCAAGACTGCTGCTTCGGCTTTGTCCGTTCATCTAGATTCTGATGTCCTGGAAGGTTGAACCCAGCTCTCTGACCAATGTGGGATGTCGGCCTACTTCAGGGTCTCAACCAAAAGGCCCTTGGCTGTAGGGCTCTATCTGGTCAGTAGGGGGACCACGCAGCAGTAGGATAAGCTGATAAATTCAATACATCTTCCTCCCCGGAACACCCTCAACCGTCATTAACCGCCACTAACAACCATGGGGACCTGGTGAAGGACGTGTATGGATTAGTGGAGAGCCACTCATGGTCTGAAGAACAACTCCTAACGTATGGAATAAGGAACAAGGTACTTGCATTTTGTTCTTTATTATTGGTGGCTGTAAGTCAGGTATAGGGTGCCATTAAAATCTCCTTTAGGCTCCCCCAGAAAAGAGCAGATAACTCCCTATATAAACACATTGACACTCTGTCACCTAGATCATCTTAGACATTGCTCTCAGGGGTCTTTGCTACAGAGTCAGTATGTGCCAGAGACTATGAACAGAAAGGTTCAAAGCAGTCTGTCCTCACTGAGTGCTGGGGGTGGGGACAATTAAGCACTGAGGTACTAAGGTTCCCATGCAGCTGATCAGATGACTGGCCTGGTTCAGTCCCTTTATTCCCAGCTGGACCATGTTACCCGGCCCAGCTGTACGTCAGTTTTCCTTGGGTAAGCAAGGAGCCCTGAGCGTTACTTACCTCCTAAGAGTCAGCCTGACTGACAAAATGAGAAGGTGGCTGATGCCTGATGATGCTTAACTTCTACCATGATTGATGCAGATTGCCATTGGCTGGTGGCTTGGCCTCGGTGACTACCAGTAGGAATGAGCCCCAGGACAAGAACAGATGCTGCCAATTTTAAAACACGGTTTTGTTTTCCTTAATTATTACATAAAGTAGGCAATCTCCACTGAGCGTCCGGGCTTTGGCTTGCTCCCAAGGGCACACAGCTGTGTTTAGGACACAAGCCAAATAAGCACATGGTGGATAGGCGTCTCACTGCCCAGCCTGAGGAAGCCAGCCAGGCAGCACAGCCTGGTGCAGGAGGGTTTCAGTGGCCCTCACGTACTAACCAAGTGGCACAGAAGCCCTTCTTTGCCCCAGTTTCACACAAGGCCAGCTAGGCTGACCCTTCTTCTATCCACCCCTGGCACATACTAGCTGGTATGGACCACGCTCATCAATAGGAGAGAAAGTGAAGAACTCTCTCTACAAGCTGCTGGGCAAGCCATAAAGGTTCTCACTGGGGGCCATCCAGGTTTCCAATAAAATCAACACCTTGGTCCCTGAGTGGATGACACCGAATAAGGAGTCTCCCTTCCCAAGTCAGTGCTAAGACCAGTGGGGCAGCCAGGCTAAAATCCAGTTCTGGAAGGTGCATTGAAGGTACAAACCCATAACACAAGCTGTTTGCGCTTGTCCTCTTTCTCTCTTTAAAAACATCTATGGGTGTTACCTGCATGTATGTCTGTATATCATGTGGGTGCCTGCTGCCCATGGAGACCAGAAGAGAGCACTGGATGGATCCCCTGAGACTAGAGTTACAGATAACTGTGAACTTCTATGTGGATGCTGGGGATTGAACCCAGGTCCTCTGTGAGAGCAGCCCTCTTCAGCGCTGAGCCATCTCTCCAGCTCCAACCCGCTTGATCTTGAGAATCAAGAGACCCCTGGCCCGTGTACCTGCTTTCCTTTACAGCCCCGCCCCCATCCCCAGTGCTCCCTGTACTACCTGAGACTCAAGGTCTTAGGAGGCTTGGAACTGGGGATCTTCTGAGCTCTGCCTCCAGTTAACCTCTGTCTGGCTCTTCTCATACCTCAGGGTTCACCTTATATGCCTCCCTCTCCAAGTCACCACTTCCGGTGCCACCTTGCCCCTCTCTCATGAGGACCGGCTTACCCCCTCCTAGAGTATAACCATGTGGCCTGTGTCATTATCTTCTGTCTTGTGGACATCACATCTCAGCATCCAGCACATCACATCTCAGCAGCCAGCACATCACATCTCAGCATCCAGCACGGCAGGTGACAGGAAAAGAATGAAGGAGAGACAGACAGAGGATGCTCAGTGGAAAGACTCGGACAGGAGCAGGAAGGAATGGATGGACTCTGCTGGGAGAGGGAGCAAGGACAGATGGCAAAAGAAGAGCATCTACCCTTGTGTCCTGAGTGGCCAGGGACGTTTTTATTTCATGTTTTCTTTGGCCTATGAAACCATGACTCTATCCCTTTCAACTTGGCTCGCTCCGGGGCAGGGGTTGCCTTATCAGGGGCCATGCTTCTGAGTGACAGCCACAGCAGCTCCTCAGCCCCACTGCCCAGGAGACCCTTGGGCCAGTACACCGAGGCCGGACCCGGAATTCCTCCTCATCGATGGCTTTGGCTCTGGCAGACAAGGAGTCTCGGTGATGATTTTAATTGTCAAGTTTCTCTTTTTAACTCAGGAAACAGCGCAGACAGATTAGCTTGCATGGCTTTAGTACCTTCCCCGCTCTGTGGCAACCACTGCTCTGTCTAGAGGCCTCTGAGGTTCCTATGTCTTAATAAAATACAGAAATAAAGGAAGTCTTCCAGAGCTGTAATCTGACCACAGTGGGGGTCAGCGTGTGATTAGGTGATGGGATATAATGAAACTGGGCTGACCAGAGGAGGCTGTTGCACTGAGCGGCAGGAAATGGATGTGCTAGGCCAGCCCCTGAGGGAGTCCCGCGAGAAGGCAGAGCAGTACCTCACAGGGGAGGAGCAGGCTGTGTCTTTGCTAGATAAGGCCTTTCCATGTGCGTCCCAGTAATTGAAAACACAACGAATGTGGTATCATGACAAGATAGATAGGCAGTGAAAATATCCAGTGCTCCAACCTGATAAGTCACAAGGGACAGAGTCTCCTAGAGTCACATGTGGGGCAGGCAGCATGCGGAAGAAAACCCACTGGCAGCCCGGATTTATCTGTACCACAGAATGAAGGCCATTACTGGGAATCTACTGTCCTCACCAGTACAGACCCATCCTCAGTCCAGATCTGCACACAGCTGACAGGGGGGGACCACCTCATCTTCAGTGAGACACCTGTGGGTCTCTCCTCACCCTCGTTTTATCTAACTTCTTCTCTCCCCATCACCAACCTTCTCACTGAGGCTCACACACAGTGGCAGAACACTCTTATCATGGGCGCATCCTCTAGGATGTTTAGGGGAACTGATCCCATGCTGGATAGTGACTCCATGGCTGGACAGCAGCCCCGTGGCTAGCGCTGCTGTCGCTCCAAGTGTCTGTTTTGGGATGCACCTGCTGCCAACAGCACCATCTTAGAATGATTCGAGAAATTATCTTCAAAACACTGGACCAAACTGGACCGGGTCACACTGGTGGCATCCCTCCAGCTTCACAAGACGGAAGAACAGATGTAGGTTCAGCAGATGTACGACTGTGAAATCCCATCAGCTACACTGGGCAGTTGACGACATTACTCCTTCCTTACTAGGTGAGACATTTGCTCTGGAAATACATTAGGCCTCTCGGCATGTGATGTGTTTTCTGAAGCTATTGGTGGACTTACAGGGTGCCTCGTCCATCATCACGATTATTCTGCAGAGTATTGCTTCTTATTGAGGAGCTACCTTCACAGATGCAATGGGCTATGCTCTTGGGAGTCACTGGCCACACCCTATTCTTTACTCTCCTGAAGCAGCTGCCTTAACAAAATCGTGGAATGGTCTTTTGAAGATGCAGTTACAGGAATGTCTTAGACAGTGTGCTATTGCTGTGAAGAGACACCATGACCACAGCAACTCTTAAAAAGGAAAACATTTCATTGGGGCTGGCTTACAGAGGTTTAGTCCATTATTGTGGCGGGAAGCAGGGCAGCAAGCAGGCACAATGCTGGAGAAGGAGCCGTGAGTTCTACATCTGGGTCAGCAGGCAGCAGGAAGAGAGACACTGGGCCTGGCTTCAGCATCTGAAACCTCAAAGCCCACCTCCAGTGGCACACTTCCTCCAATAAGGCCACGCCTACTCCAACAAGGCCACACCTCCTAATAGTGTCACTTACTATGAGCCTATGGGGGCCATTTTCATTCAAACCACCACAAGGACCAACTACATGGCAATAGTACCTTGCAAGGCTCTGCTAGGATCCCTCAGTATGCCATGGAGGTCCTGATTGATGTATACTAGGTGGCTGTTTCTTGAACAATCAGGACTCATAGTCCAGATATCAAGGGGTAAAAGCAGGCAATTCCACATTCCATCATCCCTAGTGACACACAAGCAAACCATGTGCTTCCTAGTCCTACAACCTGCTTCTCTGATGGCCCAGAGTTCTTAGTTCCAAAATAGGGATGCTTCTCCCAGGAGGCACAACTATTCCAAGGCTCTGCAAACTAGAATTCTTCCTTAGCACTTTCAACTCCTTACGTCCCCGAGTCAACAGTCAAGAATGGAGTCATAATAATGGCCAAGAGCTACACCACCAAGGTGAAACTGGACTGGTACCTCATAATGAAGGTAAAGAGGAGTGTGGCAGTTCAATATCACAGTACCTTGTGATTAAGGTCAGGTCACCAAAGGCTGTAAAGGGGCAAACAGATCTGTTTTATACTTCAAAAGGATGGGCCAATAGCCACCATCAAAAGGATGATCAAATTAACTGTGTACTTCACAGAGTAGTACCCACACTTAAAACAAATGAGCTAGTGATACATGAAACACCATGATCACCCTCAAACACATGTAAAGCCATTCCTGTGAGGTCTAAGACATGCCACATAGCAGTGTATATGTTCATTTGCAGATACATGCACATATTCATATGTGTACACATTAAAGACCAAATTCAGGATAGTCACTACCTCTGAGAAGGAAAGATATGAGAAGATTTGGGAAGGGTACATGGGCTCTTTAGTGATAGATCTATGATGTTTAGTTGCATTAAAGCCAGTACCTTGCTACAGAGATGTGGTGAAGAGTAAAATATTACTCAAGCAGTTGGAAGCAAATGAACTGGGAAGAAGGGAGCAATGATGGAAACTCGGGTGGATCAATTAGGATGTGGAAGAGAGCAGCAGTGCAGACAGTTCAAGGAGCAGACTCGGTCCAGACCTTATACGCCATCCTAGATGTGGGTATTGCTGGACTATAAGAGCTGGAAGAGGCAGAGTTTGGCATCAAGTTTTCCAGCTTCAGTCACTAGGTGCTGGAGCCCTTGAGGAGGCAGAAAGTAGTAGAGGAAAAGCATCCAGCCACTCCAGGGAGGGATCCAGAACCAAGTACCGTTCTGTAACAAATGAAGCAAGGCCCAGGCATCCCCCCAGACCCATAATGGGCTATTGCTGTAGAATATCCTGAGAATTCTTTTGTAAGTCACGCCTGGTGCCTTCTTTTGATGAAATGACCCAATTAAAGAAGGGGAAGGGATAGGGTAGAGATGAAGCCCTGAGTAGCCATGCAGCCCATGTTTAATATTGCCCTCAAACCTTTGGGTACAGCCAGCAGAGGGGGAAAAGTTGAGATCTGGATCGTACCCATGAATACTTGATGGCTCAATATAGCTTTGGGGGTACAAAAGACTGTGAAATATGAATAGTGCCTGGCTGCCCCCGAGAAGTTACATTAGTGGTAATAATACAGAGGGCCATAAGTACAGGATGCAGGTGATTTATGTCCTCTTTAAGGATATGTTAGGAAAGGGAGGTTTAATAGTGTGGAAATTAGACAGGGTGAGAGATGACATCACAACCTGTCGATAACCCATCAGGCTCCTCCAGCCCCCAAACAGGCTCCAGCCTCCAGCCCTATATCCACTCTCCTCCCCTGAAGACAGCACCAAGAGCCCCCATACAATCTCCCCTGTCATAATAAAAGTGCACGGCTCACTTTTGGGCTGAAGGGAGCATGTTTAACTGCTCCTTTAATTCATGGAATGTTGGGGTTTTGGCTTTTCCTGTACCTGATACGCCAACTGGCCTGCTTTAGACCGAGCCTTCCCAGGAAGTAGGTGAAGTATCTGGGCCAGCCATTCCACAGATCACGAGCACAGATGGGAAGAGACAGCCGCAGACTCGGCGTCCTTTCCTGCCCTCATCAAGGAGACCTCAATCAGTGCCATTTGTTAATGATGTATTCTACCGGCCAACTGTGCCAGGGCATCAGCTAGACAAGAGGAATGAAAGTGTCTCTTGCACAAGGGGCAGGAGACAGAGAATGTGTGGCATGTCAGTGGCCCAGCAGCAACCCGAGCGGCAGCTGGTCTAAGTGTGGAGAGCTGAGGGTAGGGTGTTGATGGCTTTCTCTGAACTCAGCCCGAACTGCCTTATGCTTGGCACACAGACATAAGATGCATCTGCTTTTTAGGAAGTGACAGAGCAGAGCCAAGTCTTCTCTCTCCCTTTCAGAATCTCCTCCCAGCTCCCCCCCCACAACCATGTGACGCTCCCACCTCTCTGCTCCAGACCCACGTGATACCGCTCTAAGATGGCAGCTCTCACTCCACACCCCCTCCCTTTCCTACTATCCCCCCAGTCCCACGACAGAACCAGCACTTTGCAAAAGATCTCATGGGATCCTTCCACACGCAGCATCCCCTGGGCCTGCACCCCCACCCGCCCCTGTTCTTGGACAGACCCATTCAACAAAGGACAGGATCACTAGAAGCTACACAAACCCCAACTCCATTTGGACTTGCTCCATATCTAACATGTGAATGAATCAGAACAACCGAGCCACGAAGTCAAGGGGCCATCCATCAGCTCTATTGTTTACTTCTGAATCGAACCATGTAAAATGACCCTGTCGAGCCAAACCAAACACGCTGCTGCAGCCTGTCCTTGTGTAACCCTTCGGTGGCAGCACAGACACAGCCCACAGGCTTCAATACATCCTCTCGGTTTTCTCCGCACTTCCTCCACTTTTCAGGGTCACCAGCCCATTCAGAAGCCGGGGCCAGCTCCCACTCGGGACCGCCTGTGCGACTGCTTTGATACAGGTGCTCGGTGATTTACCAGGCTCTCAACAGACACGGGGGAAGAGGTCACTTTG